TGCCTAGGACGAAATTATCTTCTTTTTTTAAAGTAATGTCTGTGATAAATAAGATAATATTATTTAACGAAAATCACTGACATACACAAATTACTCTTATATATATAGACCTATTTTAGAAATATAGGTATGTGAGATCTACTTAATTAACCGGAAATGAACCACCGGATACGTGGCAATACGATTAGCTTTTTTCTTACGTCAACGTCAACTCTTGCACAGTAATGGCTTTAGTAAGTTGAAAGTTGTTCTTCAATTAGATCTAGACAAATGATAGCGTTCTAGGTTTTGAAAAATTAGATGAGAATGTTTTAAGAGATAGATCTAGTAATATGTGATGGTCAGATCTAGTATCAGACCAGTAGACTCTAATAATAATTTAATAAATTATTTTTATAGACTAACTGTCACTAACACAGACTGGGTTAACCCCTGTGTCACAGTAACACAACAGTCTGACTTTTACTTTACTGACTTTAGTCGACTTAGTCTAGTCACTTAATCAGACACTATCAATTCTTGTCAATAGACTGTGACTAGACTTGTCTAAGACAGTCTAATACTACTAGTAATACTCTAAAACTATGATCAGTTTCTAGATCTAGAGTCTATGTCTTGTCTAGTAGAGTGAAGAGTGATTTTTTAGTCTGCTGTAACTGTAGAGTAGAGTGTAGACTAACTTATATAACTAGTGTCATTTGATCGCCCGCTGCACTGTCAGCCTATTTAAGTAATTAGATTAGTTAAAAGTTTTAAATTTATTAAGTTAGTGTAGTGCTCTGTACTGACTGTAGACTGTAGAGTCAGTATAGAGACTACTTTTATTAATAATTATTAATGAACTAGATAGTTACTAGAGGCATTTCTAGGACTTCTGTAGCTGCTAGTTCTAGCTAGAATCATGAATCAGCTAGATTTAAATTTAGATTTTAGATCTAATCTAGTCTAGATGTAAGAAAAAAAAATCTTGTGGAGAGTGGTAGATAATACTAGTAGATATATTACTAATATTAGATGTAAATCTAGTCACCAATCTAGTGTGGCGAGGTTTTAAGATTTTTAAAATGACTTTGGTTCGTTACTCTAGGGGAAGTAATTTTGAGTTTCCCCGCTCACATAAGTAAATATTGAACAGGCACACTACGAGCAACAATTAGAACAAATGAATTGACTATATTTTGAATAAAAAAAATACAAATTTATTTAACATCAACAATATCACTACTAGCTTGGGTAGTGAGTCAACAATGATTCAGGTAGATTAATTTCATCATTGATTGCATATGAAGAAATGGATAAGTGTTTCTATTTTGTATTCTTAACTTTCTTTGCTGGTTGGTTGGCCGCTGGGCTTGTCTGGTAGATGCTGGAAGGACTCTGAGCTGAATCTTATTGTAGATGGACAATGCTTGAGTCGTACAGGAGTTTGTCTGTGGGAAGGGTATTCTCAGGACCGTAGGTAGTCGGTAGTGGATATTGGGCAGTGGACAACTGGAGCCTGGACTGGGCAGTAGGCGCTGAACACTGGGCAAGTATTTGGGCACTGGACCGTAGGCAATTGATAGTGGGCACTGGGCTTTAGGGCTGTTTGTAGTGGGCACTGCTGAGATTCCTTCTCGCTGACAGAATGTACAATAAGTACAATGTTGTTGTTTTTCTACTTCACATTTTTTGCCAAGAAAATAGGTAAAGGCTACCAGCCTAGAGAATTTTTCAAAATCCTATGACAGTCAATATACATATAGCTCTAGTAGATAGTCATACAATATAATATATATATTAAGTCCAATACAAGTGTCCTGCCTTATAAATGCATAAATTCATGAAAATTAAATGCAAATAAAAATAATAGCTATGGCAGGTAATTTTGAAAATCACACACCAGCACAGTCTAATAATTCAAAAGGGCTCCTTTTTTTAAAAATTTCAGCCAGCAGCAAGTTCAACATCTGTAGGAGGCAGTCGTGGTGGTCCTTCAAAAAGTATTACACCAAGGTCGTCAGGTGGAACCACAGCCAGACAAAGGTTAGTTTCAGAACATTTTTGTTGTGATTGCAGATAATTTGGCTTAATTTATTATCAAAGGTAATTTCTTTATTAACGTTACATTATGTGGTCATTGTTGTGAGGGTATCTTGAACTCTGAACTATTAGAATCTTAACAATTTTAAAAGGAAAGTGTGGTGTCCCCCTTTCAGACCTTATCACTTCCTACTTAATGTTGAAATAACATATATATATATATCAGTATATTTTTTCATAATTAAAATAATATTCTTTTACCTGTATTTTAACTTTAAATTTAATAATTAAAAGTATCTTTCTTAAATCTTAATAAAATGTGTACTCGCAAAGCATAAATCTGTTTGCAATTTCAGTATGGTAAGTTAATGAACATTTTGTTTTGTTGCTGGTTTTTGTTTTTTTTTTAGACTTGACTGAAAGTGTGGGTATGCAATATGAATTGGAAAATATAATTACAATTCTAGTATTGTAGAAATGAAATAAAAACTTATTGATACTTACTGATACTGTATAAAATCCTTTTTTATGTGCATTGACTTCTGATTCTTAGCATACAGGTTGTTGTTAGAAAATTGTATTTCTTATAGCTTCTGTCAATGACTATATATATGCTCATAAAAATTCTCACACTTGATTTAATTTTTTAAATTTTTTTTTTTGTTCCTGTGATGGGCCTTCTTTAAATTATATCAGCAGTAGTTCAGGACAGATGTCTTTATGTGTCTGTTTATAGTACAACTCATGGCTTTTGTAAATGTCATTCTGGTTCTGTTTATGATATAATTTGGGTAGATGCCTTCATGTTGTGTCAATTTATAGCTATGTGACACGTTTATTATTATTTTTTAAAGGAAACCTGCAGCTTCCAGTTCAGGAGGAGCTAGAAAAGCCGCAGGAAGCAGCGCTGGCATGTGGCGCTTTTATACAGAGGATTCCCCCGGAATAAAAGTGTAAGGAATTTGTTTAGGCCACTCTGCTTTCTCTGCTGACCATTTTGTTTTGCTGTTTATGTCAGGTTGAAAGAATAAAAAAGGAAATGACAAGGGAATGGGTTAATAAGATTGTTTTGCTGTTTAAAAATGTTTGTAACATGTTTTACATGTTTCGGGAATGTTCCTTCAGAATTGAAGATAGTTTACTTCCTAGTCCAAACCTCCTGTAGGACACTGGCGATGAGAGTGGGCAGGGTTTGAACCCAGGACCATCGATAAATCCAAACAACAGTCCAATGAGCAAACTGCACAACCAGGCAGCCAGGTCAGGTTGAAAGGATAAAAAAAACCTAAGAAATGGCAAAGGAATAGGTTAATGAGATGGTTATTATACAGTTAACTCCTCATAATCTGACATGGTGCCAACATAAATTCATGTAAATTATATATACTGATACTGCAGTGAACATATTTTTAGAATTTTGGGAGCATTAAAGTCTAATTTAGTACAGTAAGAGAGTGCTGAAATATGTTTTGTATTTTTTAATGAATAAACTTTTTTCCCCCTTAAATTTTTATTTTATACCCTTGAAAGTCTAATAGTATATCTTATTAAATTATGCAGTCCAATTCTTTGAAGTACAGCTAGCCTTTGGTAATCAAAGATTTTTGGCAATCCCCTGTCTTGTGACAGCCTGACTATTGGGCATATACCATTCTACATAAAAAAGACTTTTTTTGGTCTTTTTAACATACATTTTCTACATTAACTCTTTCTCTCCTGATCGACGATACCATCATTGATTTTGACCTCATTAATTAAATTAATGTTTAATTTTATAAACTTAACTTTGTGTTATATAAAAAGAGCATGCATTTCCCTTTAATTCTATAGCAAATACATTTTCTGATAACAAACAACGAAGCTATTGAAGCCCAATCATAACAGGGGTAGTGAAATAGTAATGAGCAAATGAAGAATTCCTTCATAACATGGGAAAATTATTACGGAGAGAAAGAGTTAAAACTGGCATAGCTAGTTATGCATATAATCATTAATGATTTGTAATGTTATTACATATAATTTGTTAGTGTATGTGTGGTTATGTTTGGTGTGGATGTTGTGTGTCTGCTTGTTACTAAGAGACTGTGTATTCATGTTTTATCTATCTGTCCATTCCAGTGGCCCAGTTCCTGTCTTGGTCATGAGTCTCATTTTTATTGCCTCTGTTTTCATGCTTCACATTTGGGGCAAGTACACCCGCAGCTAAATAGACACAGCCTGGGGCATTCAAGGGATTGACTTTGTTTTTAAAATTGTACAAGGACCACAATTAGTGTCAAGATGAAAAACTTTATTGAAGTAACTTTGTGAATTATTGAAAGGTTAAACCATTGAGTCCTTTAACTCTGCATTTTGAATTTGTTGGAAAGAGTGATTGCCAGGCTGTGAATGAGCATTGGGTTATGGACTAGTTCTTGTTAGTGAAGCTTTGTTTGACTTTGGACATTTGTGTCATTCCATTTTTTGTGTGGATGTTGTTTAGGTTAATGATAGAGACATTTACAAACTAATCAAATATGTGTACTAATGCTGTGGTGTATGTGTGTTATTTAATGCTAAAGTATGGATGAGTCTCAGTTTTATTAAAAATGAACATGCCTGAGACCCCTATCTACTTTTCTTTGTTTTTTTTTTTTTTTTGTTTTTAGTGATTATGGTGCTTGTGTAGGTTTAGATCAGTGATCATCCGGCCTGCCGAATATGGGCACAATGTGGAGAAATTCCTCTCTCCACAGAAAAAAAATATCTTTCCCTACACTAGGGTAAATGGCAAGCCAACATAATTGTTTTATAAAGAAAACAGTGGCTTATTTTAAAGAACTTAAGATTAAACAGCTTTATGAAACCAAACACATAAATAAAGTGGCACCCTAGGTTTGAGACACAATTAATTGTTAGATTACACCTAGAGTGGAGGATTGATACAAATATTTATGGAATTATAAAAATAAAAAAAGAATGGTTTACTAATCCCCCCCCCCCCCCCCCCCTTTTTTTTTTGTTGATGTGGCCTGCAACACAAGTGCTGGAATTTAAAATGGCCCACTGGTCGAATAAGGTTGAGCATCACTGGTTTAGATGGATAACTCTAGCTATCAAAAAACAACCTGGTCACACACTGGTCAATGTTTTTAGGGAACTGGAAGTAAAAAAAAAAATTCAAATATATTGATATATTATTTCATCTATTATTTACATCTTCATCTAACTTTCCCTGTTAGACCTAGTAAACTATTTTATTTGTTAACCGGCACTATTGGCTTTGTTTTATTAACTGGTTACTTTGACTAATTGAAATCTGAAAGCTATTTTTAAATGAATGAATTTGTATAATTGCAATAAACACCACTGTAGTAATAAGACAAAGCCAAGGGGACATTTTGAAACAACTCTGTGGTATACAGTAAGATTTTATTTTCAAACTTTAAACATACAAGTCAATGAAAGACTAGAATATTTCTACAACACATTCATTTCCAGTTATCAAATAAAATGCAGAAATATTGACACAAGTTCACTGGTCAAGGGTAAATTTGCTCTTGTGTTGTGGTGTACATAAACAAATGTTTTCAGTTGATCTTTACTAACCAAACAGTAAGTTTGATATTGGATCCTGGACATCTTTTTCCCAATCAATGTGAATTTGAACAAATTTTATAACATTAGTACCCAAGTGTATAACTACTTTAAAAAACAACAAAGATTATAGAAAAAGAAAATTTGCTTTCAGCATACAATAATGTTCCACTTTAATTAAGTGCAGAAATCTTCATCTAATAATAATAACAGAGGGACTGAGAGGGTATGATTTTAATCATGGATCATTATTAAGGACAAACTCAAGTGCAAACCAATCAGTTATCACTAAGACCTCTTTCAGCTGGAGGGGGTGGCGATATTAAAATATCAAACATTTTGATCCAATTTTTAGGTTAGTTTGGTTCTAGACGAGATCAAATTTTGTTTCTTGAAATTCAATAAAATTTGAATTGCTTTGAACTAATTACAAACTTTGAAGAATTTTAGCAAGAACTTAGAACATGAAAATCATTATGTACAACAAGATATAGCTTTACAAAACTAACAATGAAGATGAAGTTTTTAATTAATTTTGTTAAGAATTCATAAGCAGCTAACAGTTAGCTCGTCAACAGGCAGGATGGCTGCTTGGAAGTTCAGTATGGAACTGTCGTTTGGTCGTCTCAATGATCCCAGGTTCATAGCCTGCCCACTGCGACCCCCCTGTCATCCCAGGGGAGGTTAGTCATGTAAAACATTTTCCAAACAAAAGACCCAACTAAAGGTAAATTATTAGACAAAGTAAGTTCATACTTGTGAGGTCCAATAATTATTACAAGGGTATTGCATGGCCAGCACAGTGACCAACTGGAATTACTTTCACCAAGAAATACTGTGTCACAACCTTTAACTTCTAAGCAATTTGACCACACTTCCACAGCCTCCTCTTAAAATGACATCTACATGAAATAATTATAGCATAATTTGCATCACAATCTGTATTCTGTACAAGGAGGTAAATGGGTCTCTCAACTTACTGTGCTGGTTAGTCAAATTAACAAGGTTTGCTGACTAACAAAATTTAATTTAAACAACTCATTTAGAGTCAATCTCCAAATATTTGATATCATATTTACAAAGTGATACATATGCCACATGTCCTTTCATAATTGAGCAATATTCTTCAAGCCTTCAATTGTGCTGCCTCTTAAATGCTTACAAAATACACAACATGCCAGCCTCAGAGAGCTAACAAAACAGTTTAAAAATGAATCCCATATCATGTTTAAAAAAATGATATATACACATTATGACCTGCATGGGACAAGAAGACACTAAAAAAAAAAGTCTCTCATAACAGATACATTCTCTCACACACTCAATACATAATATAGTATATTACAGTACTGTATAGTCTAGGAAACAATTCTCATTAATGAAGACATTAAGAAGCTGCTGAAAATGTCAAACTGTACAAAAGAAATGCTATAAATAAAAAGAAAGTGTCATTCCAACAAATATTTTCAATCATAAATTCAAAACTATTACCAAGTTCTTTAGACAATTATGTGCTAGGATGTAAGTACTGGGGTAAGGAGACAATATCATTTGTTTGACTTGATGCATAAAATATTGAGTGGAAAGAGACATAAACAAGGTCTGCTGCTACTGACTTGTCCTTGTCAATCTCCCAAACTTTTCCTCGCAGACAGCCATGCTAGAGCCCATTTCAAGTTGGTCAGCATGTATTTCAGCGCTTTGGTCCACTGTTCTTCAGAGTTGAACTGCATCCTTGAAACAAAATCAAATACATATCTAGTCATTGGAGATATATATCTATATGTTCATAAAAAAAAACATAAATCTATTTATCACAATAAGGCTTATCTTCTTCAGGAACATAGATTAATATGGAGTGCAGTATTTCACATGGCTACCCAGCCCCAGCTGCGACCTACATATTTTGCCACACCCAGAGCAAACATAAACCATTGTCTGCCGGTGGTTGATTCCGATTCTTTATTCGCCATCTACGTCTGTCCTCAGCGTTGGATTTTCTTTTGGTCTCAAATGTGTATGCCGCTGCAGTTATCTCCAGTTGTGTTGTACTAAAGCGGCCAGCAGCCAGGTGTTCTCTTCTATGTGAGTTTAAGTAAGTTGCCAACTAAGCTGCTCTTTAAAGTGTTTTTATGGGGCACCTCTGTTATGTTAAATCGATTTACTCAAAACTAAATCTTTGATATGACAAAAAAATCAGTTATACATTTTGCTCTACATTGCTCAATAGTAACAATGTTATTGTCTGCTATAGATGTGACAAAATGTGCAAATCACAACTGGGTCTGCGTGGTCATGTGAAATATTGCACTCATCCTAAATCTTTGGAATTGAAGAAAATGTATTGTAGTGATGTATTTAATTCTGTCTTTTCTACAATATGATTAAGGGTTATTTTTTCTTTCAATTCAGAACCTTCTTACAATTAATTGCGTCATGACACTAAAAGACCTTTTTTTCAATGACACCAGTGGGTCCATACTAGTCATGGGCTTAGGTGCAATGTAGCCCTATGCCCAAGGGTTCCCTAGTCATGTGGTATGTACTCTGGACAGTCATCTTGATGGTCCTAGTTCAAACCCATCATCCTGCAGAAGGTTTGGGCTAGGATGTAATAATCTTAGAATTTAGAAAGAACACTAGAAACGCGTAAGACAAAGTATTCCATTCTGTATACCAAGTGAACAGCTTTATAAAGTTTGAAAAGCAGCATTAATGTGTGTTTTTTTTTGAGAGTTAACATTTCTCATTTATAACATTTCTCAAGCCAATGTGGACCACAAAGTTATGGATATATGGTCAGCTAGCTGGAAGTTAAAATTGAAATTAGTTTGGAAGAATGTATTGTTGCACACAGCTGATAAATCTTTTTGCTGTGAACTTTATAATCTCTAACCAAGTCTTAAAATTATACAAAATAACTCAGCAACTTTTACAGATCAACTAGGAACAAAGTTTATTGGTAAATCCCAATCGTCCAGTAATAATCAAATAATTCTTGTAATCCAATTTGACAAACTACAGACATCTTTCTTTCTAAACAACTTACTTGATGGAATACTGGTTTTTTTCACCTTCGGAGATTTTCCCTTTACTCATTTTATAAGGCAGATTAAAACTGGAATCTTCTTTTTCAACCTCATCACGAAACTGTAGGAAGAAAATAAAAATAGAACTAGGTCAATTAATAGTGAGTCAGGGTCATATCGTTTCCCCAGTAATTTTTAAAGGAAATCTGAACTAATTATAAGATTGTGGTTTAAATTTTAAAAAAAAAAAGAAGTTAAGGTCCCTGAATGTTTTGTTTTTCCTCAATAAAAATCAAGCAAAATATAAAAATCCTTTTTTAAAAAAAGCTTATCTAAAGCGGAAAAACTCTGCCCTTAAAATTATATCTACCAATAATATAAAAGGTACAACTACCCTTATTCAATTTCAAACAAAATAATGAATTACTAATAATTATTGACTAATTGAGTATTTTTTGTTAATTGATTCATGTTTTGTTATGTACAATAAATAATTGTTTAAAGTATGGACTTCACTCAAACATCAAGTTCATGAAACATTTTCTTTTTTACTTCAATTTAGATCAATGCATTTTTTTTTTTTAAAAACAGGCCAAAATAAAAATCTTGCCATTTAAACACTAAAAAAAAATCTATTTAGAATTTACTCTAACGGTATATAGGTTAAACATTCCAAGTAAAGTTTATATTAATATATATCAATAGTTTAACTGCAACAATCTCCATGATGCCGCTGGAATGTGGTTTATTTTTTTTTAATGAGAATAAAATGTAAAGATGAAAAAAAGAAATACCTGCTGCAAACATTCCAAAAAGGCAACCATAGCTGAATCAAATCTGTTTAGAGCAGACAATACAAAATGTCAATACAACTATAATAGAAGATTTTTAGTATTGTAGTATTCCCCTTCACTGGCAAGACAGTAGCTGACAGCAGATGGCCTTTAAAAGAGACAGTTGGAGATTTATCACAAAGGTTGCGTGACACACGTTTGAGACCCAAAGTAAGCCATTATTGAAGACAGAAGATGGAAAGAAAACTTAAACGGCTTTGTCTGCGCAAGATGCGAAGATTATGCAGGTTGCAACTGGGTTTGCGTAGTCATGTGAAACATTGCACTCATCCTTAATCTTCAGAATTGAGGACATTGCCATTATAATGTTTGTTGGTTTTATTTTACTGGAGCTTGGAAAATAAAACTTAAAATAATTAATACTAATTCAAACTACAAGGCTGAGTGGTAAAGCGCTTAGATTCCAAACCAGGGGGTCCTGAGTTAGAAGATTGGGATTTTTAATTTCGGGATCTTCAGGGCTCCTCTGAGTCCACCCACCTGACATTAGTTGGGGAAAAATAAAGGTTGTTTGGTCATTGTGACATGACCCCTCATTAAATATAACTTTTGATACAAGATATAGTTATTATTGGAGTTAGACATACTCAGGAACATCTTAAACTCTTATATCAAAAATCCCAGCATTCATCTGGATTTGAACTACAGAGCACTGGTTTAGAAGCCAAGATATTTACCACTTAGCCAGCACCCCAATTAAAGAAGCAGCAAAAATAGAAAGTCATATTTTTAATAAATTTTAGTCACAAAAAAAAGTTAACACTACGTATGACTACATTTAACTAGCCAAAATATTTTATCCAATCCATATGGAAGTAAAGTGAACAGCCCCAGTGGTTAAACCAGGACAGATGATGCAATTAAAAAAAATTGTAGTTTAATTATAAATTAATGGAATGTAACATAATATTTATTTATGTTATAAAAAAACCTACTTAGTGTCCCATAAGAAGCGGATCCCACCTGATCCATATAAGGGCAGTTCCTTCTTCTCATCAAGAACTTCAATATAGGAATGATTCCCATAGGGCACTGGGCGATATCTGAAAAAAAAAAATTTGCAATGTAAGTTATAATTTCCTTAAAATATATATTTTTTTAAATATTTTGAGAGTCAACACAACACATAAATGCACTTTTCAACCAATGTTAATGAAACTGCTTTCAAATTAGTCATAAACAGTTTCATAATTTGTTATGTTAAACACTCCTAGAGACAGGACATTTTTAATTTTACTATATGGAAGTGAAATGTTTTATTCTTATTTACTTTTTAAACTTGAGCCCAATCTTGTTGGCCAATGACACCAGCAATAAGACAACCTGGCCCCAAGCTGTATTGATCTCTATCCATTCAACCTGAAAAAATAGAGACAAAAAAAAAACAATTACATGTACAGACATTGATTGTTATATATACCTGGTAATAGATATTCTAATTAATCAATAGATTTGATGTCCTTACTGGCTATAACATTGTCTCTAGCTTGAATCAAGCTACTAATTTTAGAGGTGGCCACACAGTATCACAAGAAACTACTAGTCACACAAGCATATTTACTTTTATCTCATCATCTCATCTGTCCCTTAACTTTGGTCATAGTGGTGCTGGGACAGTTCACGTAACCAAATCCCTCCACTTTTCCCAGTCAGCAGCAGTTCTTAGCAGGATATCAAGAGTTTGAAGAGAGAGGCTGGTCCATTCTTGTACATTGTCCAGCCAGCTTTTCTTTGGGCGACCCTCTCTTCGTGCTCTGGACCTTGAAGGATGACTTTTTGACAATGAGTCATATCTTACACTATGACCAAACCAGTTCAGCTTTCATGTCTTCACAGTATTGAGTTCTTCCTTTTTGCCAGATAGAGTTGACTTGTAAAATACAAACTCATTTGCCTTCTTTTCCTGGTATCTGATACCCAGCATTTCTGGCAGTGCTGAACAACTGAAGAAAACAGCACACTTTTTTTCCTTGGCACATTCTGCAAAAG